TTTGCGGTACGCGGGCCTCTCACTGTTGTGGCCTCTCCCGCTGCGGGGCACAGGCTCCGGACGCGCAGGCTCAGCGGCCATGGCTCATGGGCCCAGCTGCTCCGTGGCATCTTCCCAGACCGGGACACGAACCCGTGTCCCCTGCATCGGCAGGCGGACTCTCAACCACTGCGCCACCAGGGAAGCCCAGATTTTTATATATCTCTTGATCGTGCTCTCTTGCTTTCTCAGTGTCCCTCCCCTGCACACACGCGCGCGCGTGCACACACACACACACACTCTCTCTCTCTCTCTCTACATATACCAACAGGCAGTATCCCCAAAGTGGTTTCAAACTTGTGTTCTTGAGATAACCAAATGGTATCATTTAAAACAAAAAGCATTCTTGGAAAACTCTTTGCTTATTTAAGCAATAATTAGTTATTAGGGGGAGAAGCTAAAATGTTTCAAATTAGCCAGAGATGTAATTTAAAATGGCATATTGGAGAAGGAAACCTGTTCTTTCTGGATATAACAAATTAACTAATGGCTTTATTTGGTATCTGCTGAAGAATTGTTTTTCTAGGTTATCTGCTTTTTAAAAATAACGTCTCTTACGCAAAGAAAATTTACGTAATGTTTTCTTTTCAGCTATCTGGGTGTTTGTGTTCAATCAAAACAATAAGTCTTTTTAAGGAAAAAAATAGTCTTTTAGTCTTATGATAAAGTGTGTTCTCTAGAAATGAACCCCTCCATGATTACTCCAGCCCTACCCACCCTTTCTGTTACGTTTTTTTTTAAATTGATTGATTGATTGATTTTTGGCTGCATTGGGTCTTTATTGCTGCGTGCAGGCTGTTCTCTAGTTGCGTCGAGCAGGGGCTACTCTTCACTGCGGTGCCCGGGCTTCTCATTGCGGTGGCTTCTCTTGTTGCGGAGCACTGGCTCTAGGCGCGTAGGCTTCAGTAGTTGTGGCTCACAGGCTCTGTAGTTATGGCACACAAGCTCTAGAGCGCAGGCAGGCTCAGTAGTTGTGGCGCACGGGCTTAGTTGCTCTGTGGCATGTGGGATCCTCCCAGACCAGGGCTCAAACCCGTGTCCCCTGCATTGGCAGGCTAAGCACTGCATCACCGGGGAAGTCCTCTGTTACACCTTTAAAATCTTCTAGTCTTGTTACTGTATTGCTAAACAGCAGTGATATTTAGACTCTTACAAAAGAGTTTTTAATTTGTAAAGTGTTTCCGTTTTTGTTCTCTCAAGTGACTTTCTTTCTCTTTCCTCCTAATAAAGCAAATGAAGAAGCACCCCTGCCGCCAGTGTGACAAGTCTTTTAGCTCATCCCACAGCCTGTGCCGTCACAACCGGATCAAGCACAAAGGCATCAGGAAAGTTTATACCTGCTCGTAAGTCGTGATTTCTAATGTGGGAAGCACAGTGAAAGGATTAGCCTGGAACTTCTCGAAGGTTTTTCCCATTTCACCATTAACTTTCCATTTTCCCATTCTCTGCTCCATGGTGTATGGATTTCCTTTCGGAATTGTATTTTGTTTTGACAGACCATTCTTGCTTGGTTTGTAACCCTTAACAATATTAAAATAAAAAGGAGCAGCCCCTTGCCCACCCTTTGTATGTTCTTATCTGTTACCTTTGTTCTTTTTTTTTGGCCACACAGTTTGTGGGATCTTAGTTCCCCGACCAGGGATTGAACCCGGGCCCTCAGCAGTGAAAGCACAGAGTCCTAACCACTGTACTCCCAGGGAATTCCCACCTATGTTCTTACCCATTATACAGAGGTAGGCGTTTTATTACTGAGAATTTTGGAGAAGTGGCTCACGGGCAGGTAGGTGCACGGTTGAATGAGATGCTCTTCAGTCTCTTACACACAGGGAGTTGGCAGCATCAGTAAGCCGTTTGGGCTGGTAGATCTGCTCAGGGTTCAGAGCAGGCCGTGGTGGGGCCAGTCATGGAGTCATCCTGGGCTGGACGTTTGCCCCTCGGCTGCAGTGCATCCCTCATCTCAGCACACTCTGTTGGTTAGAGACCAAATTCAAGGAACTGAGTGGGCCAACCCACTGAGTGGACAGTCCATGAGATTCTTTGTGTATGAAGGTCAGAGATTGTCATATTATTATTAGTGAGAAAGCTTTCTCACCCACTCAGAACATGCCTGAAGTGAGGTGATGTAACAGGGTTACTTACTTTAAGGCACTTCCCATAAAAGAGGACTAAATGACACAGAAGCCGTACAGCCAGCGTGTGGCCGTGATGAAAGCAGGGCTCCGTGTACCATGTGGCTGAGGGAGCGTGAGAAAGTCAGCTACCAGATCGCCGGGGCTTTGCTGTGTCTTGGTTAGGTAGGGAATGTTTCTTGGGTAGGAAAACAGGGACCCTCCTTCCGTGAAATTGAAGCTGGGAGTGATTTTGGTGAGATGAGAACATTCTGTAAATACAGTCTGTATGTTGAGACTGCATTGAAAGAATCAGTGAATTTAGGAGGAAACCCTGGGCTGAGAAAATGGAAAGCAATGCTGGCGTGGATGGCACAGTCCTTCCTCTAACGGGGGTGTTCGTTTCCTCGTGAAGTGCCTGTAAGGCAGTAAGACGCCGCGATTGTCCAGCTATTTCGTCTGTTCTTTGGTGTTGGTGCTGGCTCCCACTGCTGCCCCACAGAGCGTCTCTAACATGATACCAGAATTGGGAGCCAATCATCATAAAATGCTTAGAAGCCTCTCTGAAGACAGCAAATTTGGTTCTTCATAAGCCGTGAGGCACTTTCCATCCACCTTCGCTGCAGTGGTATTCCTGATGTCTGGCTTAGCGTATCTGTAATCACCATGGTCATTAACTTCCGTTTACCTGTGTTTGGCCTGTTTGATTAAGAAAATGATAAATTCATATCTTCTAAAGAAGAACTGTAATCGTAATTAACATAATTTTGCACAAGCTGAAATGACAGTTTAAATAATTGACCTGTCTTGGATATCTGTTCACAGTTTTCTACGTTTTAATCGACTGACTGAACACATGTATTTGAGCGCTGCGGTTCTAACCATGCTTATTGCATTTGTGCTTTGATGAGGAATTTGATGGGGAGACAGTCTGTCTTGTCTGTGTTACGGCAGAGTGGACAGGAATCGTTAACACCAGCGTGAAGGAGTCAGGCAGGGACTTTCTTCCTATCAGAGTGTCTCATGACGTAAATTCTGAGGGAACCGTCTGAGTCACTGGAAAGGAAACTTTTGAAATTTAATGTTCTCCATGTTAAAAATTACAGCCATCTAGAATAACGAATTAAGTAATACTTTAACCAAACTCAGAAAATAAATACTCCATCTGACCCAAATTAGGCTGATCCTGTAAGGACACAAAAACTGATAGAAAACTTTTAACAAAAGCTGCAAGAGTTTTTTTTTTTTTTTTTCCACCAATTGGAAACTATGATTCATAGCAGAATTACTCTTTCGCTTTGGACCAGTGGTACTCATGCAGACGACCCTGGCCCCTCTGAGCGGGGCTGTCGGCCGGCTGAGGGCTTTCAGCAGTGAATGTGCGCCTCAGTGAGTTCCTTTAAAGCAAGTAGATTATTTCCTTGTCTTTTTCCTCACAGGCACTGCCCAGACTCCAGGCGTACCTTCACGAAACGGTTAATGCTGGAGAAACATATCCAACTCATGCACGGAATTAAGGATCCTGACTTGAAAGAAATGACAGAAGCCACCAATGAGGAGGAAGCAGAAATAAAAGAAGATACCAAGGTCAAACACTGCACGTGTTCTCTTTACAGTGAAGTTGTGTTGGCTTGCTTTTGCCATTTTTTTTTTTTTGCATTTAAATTCTTCTACGGTTACACAGTTTTAAAAATTCAGACTGTGCCTAAAACTTTAAAATAATAGGGAAGCTCTCTCTGCACTCGTTCTGAGCTTTCCTCTTGCTCCTAAAAGGTAACCTTTATTAAGTTTCTTCTGTATCCTTCCAGACACAACTTTAGGGATTGATCTACTTACATATAAAATGCTATGCTGACTCCCAGAAGCGGTCTCTCAGCCAGGAGACTGTATGAATCGAGACTCCTCTTCATTGGCAGTATATTGGTTGTGAGAGGGGCCTAATCAAAATTGATTCCATTTAGCTTCTCTTTGTACTGATAAAGGATTAAGATAAGATTCGTAGATAGTACCTTATCAGTAGGTAGTGAACTTGAAGCAGACAACAGAACATGTACTAACCTGAGTGCACGGTGTGTGTCGCAAGTGCTGTCGCAGTAAAGCAGACACTTAGGAGACCTGCCGTCTTTGGCCCTGTGCTGCGTCTGGAACGTTCCTGGGTAAAAGCCTGTGTGTGCTTTCAAGGAGTTCATCGTTGAAATCAGAATACAAGTCAGACTCGTGTCGCATTAAATTGTAACCCTTTCCCTCAAGTGATGGGGGGGCGGGGGTGGAATTAAAGAATGTACGTGCAGGAGCAGCCCTAGGTCAAGGCGGAAAAGCAGGACGGCTGCAGAGCTGGGAGGACAGGGCGGCCCCTCGTCTTGGCTTTTTAGAGAGCTGGAAGGGAGGGGATTTGATGAGGCCAGAGGGGAAGGGGTGGGAGGAAGGTGAGTGGGCAGGAAAGGGCATCAGGTGGCTCCGCCTGAGTCTCGGGAGAAGCACAGGTGCGGACATCTTCTCCTCCACGAGGTGCTTTTCAGTCCGCCCGCCCCCTGCCTCTCCTCGGCCTCATCTGCACACTCACCTGGTCGCCCTGCCCCGGGCCCCCTGGCCCGCCTCCTGGGCCCCTTTCCCCGTGTGGCCTCCTGGCTCAGGCTGTCCCTGCCGTACTGCATGCTGGCTCCTTCGTGGCTCTTCATCACTCCATTGGCGCCTGTGTCCCACGAGGGCTGGGACCTGTCTGTCCTACCAAGCCGGCTGCTGGAGGATGCCTGGTCATCCCGGAGCTGAGTCCACCTCTGTTGGGGGGCTGGAAGGCACGACCCTTGGGTGGGGCGGTGGCCACGCAGCCGTAAGGAGCCCGCACCCCCCGCTCCTGGGACACGTTTCCCCGCAGCCCCGGAGCCCGCGAGCACCGACCGCCCGTCACCCGCCCAGAGACCGGTTTTCAGTGCGTCACCCGCTCTGTTTTTCTCTCCAAGGTTCCCAGTCCCAAGCGGAAGTTGGAAGAACCCGTTTTAGAGTTCAGACCTCCCCGAGGAGCCATCACGCAGCCCCTGAAGAAGCTGAAGATCAATGTGTTCAAGGTGCACAAGTGCGCCGTGTGCGGCTTCACCACGGAGAACCTGCTGCAGTTCCACGAGCACATTCCACAGCACAAGTCAGACGGCTCGTCCCACCAGTGCCGCGAGTGCGGCCTCTGCTACACGTCGCACGTCTCCCTGTCCCGGCACCTCTTCATCGTCCACAAACTGAAGGAGCCGCAGCCAGCGGCCAAGCAGAACGGGGCCGGCGAGGAGAGCCAGCAGGAGAACAAGCCTGGCCCAGAGGACGCGCCGGCCGACGGCCCCGTGTCGGACAGAACGTGCAAAGTGTGTGCAAAGACGTTCGAGACGGAAGCTGCCTTAAACGCCCACATGCGGACCCACGGCATGGCCTTCATCAAATCCAAAAGAGTGAGCTCAGCGGAGAAATAGCCGCGCACCCTTCCCGCCGAGAGTCCCGGTCCACATTGGAAGCAAAGAGACAGTTTTCTTACAAAAAGTTGGCAGTTATCATAGAGTTAACAGTACTGTCTAGGCTGTTGCAATATATTCTCCTTCCACTCCCTTCTCCGCCTCCTCCTGTATATCCTCCTCGATTAAGTATTAAAACAGTATTTGAGTTGAAAAGAGTTTGTATATATTTAAATGAATAACTTTTTATACTCTTTGTTACATGTTTATATCAGTATTTAGTGGAAAATGTTTTGAAGTTTTTTTTTTGTTTCGTTCTTGGTTTTTTTTTTTTTTTTAATTTGAGTTAGAATTTTTCTTTTTGTACTGTTTCTTTAAAACAGTTCTTAGTATCAGGGGCAGTTCCTGAATTCAAATAAACCATTTTGTATGTCACAGATTTGAATGGGTTAACTAATTACAGGCTACGATAATGCCTTTTTTAGTGTTTTTAATTTTTAGAATTCACTACATAAATCGTAGGTGATTGTAGGTCTCAAAAACACTAGGGACTTTTAAGTGTCTTAGCACTATCCTCAACGTGCCTGCTCCGCCAGGGGGTGCCGGCCCCGTCAGGACCGCAGCCCGGCGTGTGGCGTCTTCTCCAGGCCAAACTGTGTCGAAAGCAGCCTTGCAGGTCGCTTCTTTCTCAGTGGGGGGATGAAAACTTGGGCCAGAGATCCAGTAAGGAACGTGGATTGATTCCATCTCAGAACGGGGAAGAAGGATATCCTAAAGGGAAGACACGGGGGTGCGGGGTGGCTGGGGGCCGCGGTGGCTTTCTGGGCCGATTTGCAAGGCTGACTTCTAAAGAGCACAAGGAGATACAGCAGCGAAAGGGCTGGACTACTGTCAAAGTTACAAATACGTAGTTAGACCAACAGATTTATATAGTCAAGCTTTTGTCATGTAATTTATTAACTATTGCAAAGACACAACTAAAAATATCAAGTATTTCTCTGGCTCTTGACAGGAAAAAAAAAAAATCACAATTGACTTAACCCTTTGCTGTCTAAAGAGTTGGCGTTTCCTGTTCAGGGTGCTACTGCCATACGTCCTGGTACTTAGACTTGGGATGCACAACTTCCACCTTATTGATGCAGCAGCCGGCATGTCGCAATTGGCCGTTCGAGTCAGCACTGAGCCACCTGGGTTTATTAGTTCAGCCATTTAAATAAGTATCTTTAACATCGGTAGTTCCGCTTTCTTAGTGCAGCCGAGGTACTCTTCTGTCCCTTCCAAACGTTTCTAGTTCTCTGGGAGAGTTATACTTTTTGGTTTTGTGTTTTGTGTTTTCTTTTGCATTTTATATCTTGTATTTATCCCTAAACATGTTTTGTACTTTTTTTTTTTTAAGAGAAGAAATTCTTTTGTGTATATATAGATATAGTTGCATGATATACTGTAGTCAACGTTCGGTTCCTCAGAAGGTCTTGCTGCTGTCAGGTGTCATGCACTAACCATATCCATCCTAACTGTATTAAACACATTTCATATGTAAATAAACGTGGGACATTTGGCCCTTGTGCTTCCGTGAGAGAGTTATTGATGGTGGGTCGCTGACATCTTCATGCAGTTTAGGGAGTGATTCATTGCAGGGCTGGGCTACGGGGTATTGCAGAATTCTCCCTGCTCAGGAGAGCGGCATATTCATTCTTGTTAGCAATCAGCTAACATATCGACTCCATCAGTACATCGGTATAACCCGAGGGTGTGATTAAGTACGCCTCAACTTGAAATTCAATTGCTGTTACTTGTTATATTTATACTTGTATTGCTCTTAAGTTGTATTCATAGCACTTTTCATATGTTTCTGCATTTGAACCTTGCAATAAACCTGTGTGGTGGGCTGCACGGGTCTAATAGCCTAGTTTTACAGTCGAGGAAGCTGAACTCATTAAGTTCTTGGCCTAAGCCCTCAGAGCTGGTAAGTGGCTTTGCGTATTAGAACCCAGATATTCTTGCTCTAAATCTAGTGCTCGCTCTATGTGTTTATGTACATATTCACAAATACTCCTTTATTCAACAAATAAAAAGTATGCAAAACACAATACTAGAAATTTTTGTTTGTGGCACTATGACTTTTATAAGATAACTTGGGAGGCTGTCTACTCATAAATACCCAGGTGTGCTGGGTAATATGAAATTGGCATCTATTAAATGCCTAGATGAGCATCCAGGAAAGGTTTTAAATAGGCCCAGAGGTCCAAAATGAAGAAGAAACTAAAATCCAGAGTAGAAAAACAGCACCCGATGCTGTAGCCCTGGGAGGAAACCTGGATGGTTCAACTGAAGAGAGAATTGATGAACTGGAAGATGGATTGTGAAGAAATTCCCTAGAATGCAGCAAAGAGATAAGGAGATGAAATATATGGAAGAGCATAGGAGTCCAGGACGAAATAAGCAGCTCTAACAAGTTTCATAGGAGCTCCAGAGGGGGAATAGAAGGAACTGGAGAGAGCCAGTGTGGAAAATTCTTAGCTGTTAATGAAAAGACATGAATACTTGGGTTAACATGGTGAATGCTGAGCAAAAAATCCACGTTGGGACTTGTGAATTCTACCCATTTTTCATTAGCTAAAGATATTGGGTGTGGTTGTCAATGCGGGCATTTGAGAAACAGGACATAGACCAAAGGTAGAAAACTGGGGCACATTCCATGAACTTTTAGGAATCCCATTTCCTCTGTTGGTGGGGAAGGGGAGGCGAGGCTGACAGAGTAGGCTGGGTCCAAGGTGTAAAAAACCTTGAATGACAATCTTCGGGGGTTTGTACTCTGATAGAGATGAGTTATTTGGACAGGGGAGTGACTACCAGATTATTTGGTGACAGTGCTTAAGATGGAGGGTGGAAGGGATTTCCCTGGTGGCACAGTTGTTAAGAATCTGCCTGCCAATGCAGGGGACACGGGTTTGAGCCCTGGTCCGGGAAGATCCCACATGCCGTGGAGCAACTAAGCCCGTGCACCACAACTACTGAGCCTGCGCTCTAGAGCCCACGAGCCACAAGTGCTGAAGCCCGAGCGCAGGCTGTGCTATGAAGAGTAGCCCCCGCTCACCGCAACTAGAGAAAGCCTGCGCACAGCAATGAAGACCCAACACAGCCAAAGTAAATAAATAAATTTATTAAACAAAAAAGAGATGGATGGTGGGAGTGTATCAATCAGCATAAGTTAGGTTATGCTATGGTTGTGACCCTGAATCTTAACGGCTTCTAACAAGACTTATTTTTCTTTTTTTTTCGGCTGCACCCCACTGCATGTAGTATCTTAGTTCCCTGACCAGGGCTTGAACCTGTGCCCCCTGCAGTGGAAGTGCAGAGTCTTAACCACTGGATCGCTAGGGAGGTCCCCTGAGACTTGTTTCTTGCTCAGACTGGAGACACTGCTCCAAATCTCTTTATCCCCTTACCCCACTTTCAACGAAATTGCTGCTTATTGGGGCAGACAGAAAGTGCAATTGAATGTCCTGGCACAGAAGTGACAGATGTCACTTTTCACATTTCATTGACCAAAACCAGTAACATGGTCCCACCTAATCACAAGGAGGTCAAGAAGTGCAATCCTACCATGCGCCCGGAAAGCAGAAGACTGAAAATATTGGCACAGCATAAATGACCATCACAGGAATAACGTTGAAATCGAAGTCGCTATGGTGCCAACACAGTGGTCCACATGGGCATGAGGACTTGGCTCAGGGTGGGGGAAGTAATCTTGGAAAGAGGCTGCAGTTGTAGGTAGCATTTCAGGAGCATCAAGGAAAATTTCATGCTGTGGGATACAGAGAAAGAAGAGAAGCCTGAAAGTTCAAACCTAGGTGATTTCGTGAATAGATTTTTTTTCAACGTTTAGATTACTTAAATAGAAATATGGAAGTCAAAATTAAGAGCTGTTCGTGGGGCAGATGAACTTTAGATATTCATTCAAGGTTAGTTTTTGTTTGAATGTGTGTGGTTGGGTGCTTTTGTTACCAATAATTGAGTAACAGTAATGCATAAAGAAGAATACCATCAAGGTGGTAAAACATGAAATGAAGACAAGAACAGTGCAGGCTTAGCATCCCTGGCATAGACAACTGCTTCCTCCCAAACACATTTTCCGCAAATTCCTGACTCCTACTCCAGTAAGTATTCCAAAGAACAACTGTTCCACCCCAAAGCTCTGATGGGTGCCTCTCTTCACGGTTGGTGGGCTAGTGCGTTCCGTCCCAGGATCTTTGACCAACGGAAATTTCCTGTTGAAAACTTTGGCCGAGATTAATATATTATTTCATAATCATCATGCCGTGAGCACTGTTATTCTTTTTTTTTTTTTTGATGCCTACTTGGAAGGGGAAAAAAGAAATGTGTTTAAAGAACTTCATAAATAAAATATGACTTAAAGGAACCATTCATCTGTCCCAGAGAATTGTCTGAAAATAAAGAGGGGAGTGCCAAATGCAGGATGATACTTATGCCATTTAGTTTCTCTCTCTTCCTCCCTCTCGCTCTCTCTCTCTGCAGATCAGATGCTGTAAGGATCCCAGATTGTAGCTCTTACTTTTAAGCATACATCTTTTAAATAAAGAACCTGGAGTTAGTTTCCTTAAAAACTTGGCTTCTGCTTTTGCACAATGCAGTCTTTGCTTAAATGGATCCTTGAACCTTCTTGTTTGACTTTCTTTTTGCAGTGAGGAACCTCACATCCCTACAGAGTTAATCGTAAACCTTTGGGATATGACAATGTAAACTTATTTCTCTGCAAAGAGCCTCTTCTCCTGCTGCTAGAAGCCTCTGGACTAGCCAGTTGTAATTTTGTAGTCACCATTACTACCAAAGCACTGATTCTGAACAGCCCAGTCTCGGTCCACATATTTTGGGTGTAAGGCCGAATTTGAGACTTGGCTACTGTCAGTCTTCCCTAGCTAGTTTCCAAATTAAATTTATGAGGTTAATTTTGACTCAGAAAGCAACACTATTTATACTGTTTCACAGTATTTAAAGGAACTGATTATTTAATTTGCTTTGCTTTTTATCATAAGCTGCTATCCTTGAGCTTTTCTTATAGTTATAAGTGTAAATTACACTACCACGGCAAGTCTGTTTCTAAGCGCACTCCTTTGCAAGATGATATTTTTATCTAGAGGCAGTCTATAATTAGAGTTCACCCTATCACACCTCCAACTCAGTTCCAGAAGGTGTGGGTTTAGCCTAAGAGTAATTGTCTGACCTTCAGGTCGAGTCAAGTTTAATTGGATCGGTTATTTCTGGAGAAGAAACATCATCTATTTTTTGAAAAAAACAAGGAAGGCAGAGATCCACTGACTGGAGAGAATGGTGTGAGGTTGATGTGAGTCAGAAAAAAGCAGAGTCGTATGTGTCAAAGGGAATGGCCCTGTCTTGGAAAGGGTAGAAGACACATCTCTAAGTAGGGGTGATGGACATTTATCTTGACTTTGTCAGTTCAGTATCTGATCCCTTTCTGGGGTTGGGAATCTACCATTGTATGAATCTCTGAGGGACGGATCTTGCCTCCTACTCCCGAAACCAGAAGGTCACTCTGCCTGACCCCCAGCAGCCTAACCTTAGGCATGGGATGACCAATACTTGGTCCAAATGATGCTCCTGCTTTGACTCTCGAGCGGGTGATACAACAAAGTAGGGACAGTTTAAATGTACTCATTCTGGTGGCACGGGGGCGATGATCATGGTGATTGCAGATGGAGAATTACACAGAGCATTGCTTTTGTTGGTCGGTCAGGGCAAAGGAAGAACCAAGATCTGGAAGAAAAGAATGTAGACATTCCTCGGAATCTCTGCTAGTTGGGAACCAGTCTGCCTTCCGGGAACCACTGACCATCTTGGACCCAGGGGTGCCATTGTGGTGGGACATTTAGAAGCTTAATCCTTTCCTTCCCTCTTAATAAGACACCATCCAAGCAACATGACGATATCAATTATTTTATTCTAATATTTTATTGAAGTATAGTTGATTTACAGTGTTGTGTTAATTTCTGCTGTAGAGCAAAGTGATTCAGTTATACATATATACCTTCTTTTCATATTATTTTCCTTCATGGTTTAGCACAGGATATTGATATTGAGTATAGTTCCCTGTGCTATAGGGACAAGTAGCACCTTGCTGTTTATGCATCCTATGTCTACTAGTTTGCATCTGCTAATCCCAAACTCCCAATCCTTCCCTCCCGCACCCCTCCTCCTCCCATCACAGGACATGGTACTTGCTGATCCCTCTGCCTGGACTGCCTGCCCCTGTGGTTATTCCCACGGGGGCCTTTCCCCTTCCTTCAGCTTGGCTCTGAAGTCACCTGCTCAGAGGGATCTCCGGGTCACCTCCCTCAAAGTGCCCACGCCCACCAACAGCACACACCCGCTTCGACACTCTCCGTTTCTTTACCCGCGTTTTATTTTTCTTCCCAGCGCTAATCCCTCCTGCCACTGTATGCTGATTTGTTAACCCTGTGCCATCCTCTGGATGAAACATTCCAAGCTGCTCCGTGAACTCTTGCCTGCTTTCTCATCCGCGTTCACCATC